AATTGCTGGGCAAATTGAGTCCTCAAGGAAGTTAGCAAAACATTTACCGAGCAGTTGCCGGTCCAACAATACTCCAGGCCCCACGATAATGAAGCAAGTGTGACAAATTGTGGATTCGATGTCTAAAGTGACTTGAACAAAGATAGATGTAGGCAATGTCTATAAAATCTATTCAGGTTATTCCTACCCAATTACCATCCATAAAAGCATCAAGCTTATGCCTTAATCCTCCCACCACCATTACCAAACCGCCCAGCCACCCACATTTGTAACAGTTAATTTAGTTTGCATGTTTTGCACCGACTTTGGCAAATCACAAGCAGAAAATTTCGCACACAGACTGCAGAAGTGCTGATGATGACAACGACAATGAGTCCTGAGTCCTGGGCTATGGGAGCCTGCGAGCAAAAACTTGACAAAGTATTCATAGTAAAACGCGCTCTCAAAGCAAGACAGCGAAACTTGTCACTGCAAAGTTGTTAAGTCAGAAGCCTGATGACTCTGTGTCAGTCACAGTCAAAGACACTGGAATTCAAATAGGTGGTGTTGGTTGAGAACTTTCAAACAAATATTATAAGGACGAACTAATATTTAACTTTTAATTTAAAAGTACTGGAAAATAATATCCTACTTCCCAAGATTATTATCAGATTTTATATGTAAGCCCTACTTTTCTCTCAGTGTTTTTATTCGGTCCTTTCTATATTTCTTTTGTCAAACTGAATGGGCGTGGACGTGAGCTTGAGCTGGTGGGCGTGTCGGCTACTGGCTCTGCTGAAAAATATTATAATAATAATATAATAATATTATTTGCTGCCGCTTGGGCCGGATGGCCCAAACTTAGTTGCCTGCTCGATGGGTGGTTCAGCTTAAATCCTAATCACATACACAGTCAAAGTCGGAGAATAAAGTTAAGCCAGCCAGCATCGTTTCAAGTAAGAATCGCCAAGTCATCTTGTCACACCACATATAGTACACTCGTGTGTATTTTTGCAGAAATACGTAAATGGCAAATTAGATTGCGCATACGCCTCGTTGGCACTCGAAGTCCCTTTGATTCGCGCCAACGTGAAATACAAAACTAATGCGCAATTAATGACATCCGCTTAGCGGGCTAAAAACTATGCTACATTTTTATGTCGAACGGCAATTTTACGGCCCCATAAACACACCACCAATGGGCGTGTAATGCCCCACCATTTTCAACACGAGTTGTCACCGCCGCTCATCATAAAACTGGTATCTCCATTAATTGACCGACCCGAGACCCGTGACCCGAGAGCAGGATTCCAAGGATCCACGCCCAGAAGGGGCTACCACCAGCCCCGCCAGTCCAGAGTGGCTTTGATTTTCTTCTACTTTGAGCTTTATTTTTGTAACATGGTTTCCTTCTTTTTTTTGTTATTTTTGTAACGCGGTTCACGCGAAAATGCCATTAAATTGATGGGTCGCCGGAGTTGGCACGATTCACAGTCGACGAAAACAATTAAAAACGTTATAAAAATGTTATATGCAGGTTGGTAGCCGGTCGGTAGTCCGTCAGTCAGTCAGTCGGCTGTCGACGGTTGTCGCTCCTCGATATGGACAGTGCTGATAAAAGCAAACGGCACTTAAACGTGTCAACAATGGGCACGACAAGCGCAGCAGCCTCGAATTGATGAACAAAGGACTCTGCAGGCACCAAATATTGCCCCTTCTTCCCTCAATCCGGACCCTGGCCAGTGGCCCCTTTTCTGTCAAATTTTTTCCCTCTGCCCCACCCCAGGAGAGGGTTGCGCGGAACAGATTTTCGCAATCAGTTTTATGTTGTTCAAGTGGCAGGCAAGCGCTCATTGTGATTGGCCTGGCATGGTCAAAAAACAAGCCACCAATCTCACACATATATGTATGTGAGTGTGGTACACAGAGGAAAATATTTAAAAAGGACTTTAAATTAATTCTATTTGATCAGTGACTAATAGTCAGCTATTGATTTTTGAAAAAATTGTTATTTCAACTATACCTACAATTGTATCGAATCTTTTTAAAATTATTTCCTAAACTGAAATTTATAAATCTCGTTTCCTATCTAGTTTTGAACTTTCTTTCGAGAACGTGACCTCGAAAAATAAAACATAAACACTAGCTATCTCAGCCATTTAGCCTCTTATTTGTTATGCTTTCTTCCCGGTGCAGGAACATATGTACATACCACTGTCTAAATAGTGGGGGCAGATACACAAACATACCATATATACATCCATATGATGTTGAGGCACCAAACAGTTTTGCAATTAATTTCTGGCCAAAAGCAGGAAAACGCTTGTTGTTGCCGCTGCTGTGGTTGCCATAAAAGTTAGATAAATTGTACGAGTATAGACAAAAACTTTCGATCACGCAGCTACGCACGCATTTTATGGAGGGGACTGGATGCTGGGTCAGAGGTAGGGGTCGGGGTCGATACCGGGTCTCTGGTCGCGGCTTTGTCAGATTTGAAGTGGCAAGCCAAAAACCAAGAGCAAGCCAAGTGGAGCGACTGCCGATTATTTATAGTTGAGAAACTTTTGTCATTTACGTTCGAAAATTTAAATTTTAATTGAGTTTTCTTGCAATCAGGAAGTAGAGCTAAAAGTGGACTACAGCCGGGTAAGGGTCAGGAGTGAGGTCGGGGAGCTACATAGTTGGGAGTCGAAAAGTCAGGTGTTGGTCTGAACTTTGGCCTGGCTGGCTGATAGGGCAGGCTTTGTTATCAGAAATGTTTTGTTAACTTTTCCCTTGTGCCATTTACTGAAATGGGGTCGAAACTATACAGGATCAGAGAAAGGATTACCTGAAATTTTATTTTACAAAATTAGCGAATAAATTGCAATATTTTTAACCACCTTGATTGACTGGTAGGGTATGTGGAAGTCAATTCCCTGGCATTTCATTTATTTTTTGCTGTTAAGTGCACAAAACAAAACTTTTCTTGCTGTTCTTGCTATAAGACCGCACTACCAAAACCAACAAAATACAACAAAAAAATATAAAAACATAAAAATAAATATAAATACAGAGCTGGAATAGTATAAGGGAAATAAAAATAAAAGTTTGAGTTGCAAACAAGCTAAAAATGGTTGTTTGCCATTGTGGGAAACGATTTTTGTTGTAATTTTGATTGCTTTGTTATGGGCAGGAGTGTGTGTGGCAAGTGTGGGTAGCAATAAAACATGAGGATCCTTCCACACTCCACATTCCACCTTTCACCCCGCCCCCATTCGGTTGCAAACATGTGTAGCCCGACTGTTCACTCGCTGACTGACAGAATAGGTTGGCTAATGAAAGCAATAACAGGGCCAACAGTGGCTGTCTAACAGTATCAGCAGCTCATTCAAATGAGGCTCAAACAAAGGAAATAAATAAAAAAAGGGTGGCCACAAAAACAGCAATAAAGCAGCTAATAGACTAGATTAAAGTTGTCTCGGCAGCAGGCGCATAAATTGCTCATTGAATGCTGCTTGGCCAAAATGCTTGTCCAAAAACGCTGATGTACCAAATTGGGCTAGCCCGGAAAAAAGAGCGTCCAAAAATGCCTTCAATGGCCGTAAGCCATAAAACACACGCGGCTCAATGGCGGCACAGCCAAATGACAGAGTTCATGTATCATTATGGCCTCACCAGCAGCCTGTAGCCAGGACTTAGGACCCAAAAGCTGACCACCAAACAGGACAAAACCCTAAACCAAATTCGGGGGAAGCTGCTCAAGCAAAAGTTTGTGCAGCCAAGCGCCGTTTTTTCCCACAAATCTCACTCTCAGAATACAAATCGAAGCGGAAATCTTTTGAATTGATAGCAGAGCATAATTGATGGCGCTGAAAAATACGGAAAACTTTGTGAATTTCAATTAACGAGCGAGCAGCAAAAAACGCTGCCAAATTCAATCATATTCAGTAATTAAATTACACCAACGGAGGAGATAGTCAAAGCCCTTCCCGGGAATATTGTAAACTCAGATGGTTGTCATCGGAGCGAGGACATTACTGGGGAATGCATAGGGGGAGGCATTCGGTCGGCCGATACCGAGTATCTGTATCTGTAGCTATAGCTGTAGCTGTGAGTGAGGCAAAAAACCAAAACCACAGAAACAACTCAAAATCGCAATATGACACATATGTGAACAGACGTAGCAAAATACCAAACGAAACGAAACGAAACCAAAAACCGAACCAAACCAAAACCCCACCCAAGCATAACTAGACCCAGCATTGCAACGTTAAGCATGTAAAGTGCACAAGTGCTGATAGGTGTATGGTATGGTATGTATTAGTGTGGGTGTGTGCGTGTGTATTGCTGCAGTATGGGTGTGTGTGTGCTCTGGGCATGCTGCATGTTAACGTAGATTTTAACGAATGTTGACAATTACGAAAAATTTGGTTTCTGGTTAAACGAAATGTGCCAAGGATGAGGGGTCCAACAGGGCGTATGAGTGTTTGCTAAATGTGCAGCGGTATGTGTGTAAACATGTACATTGTAGGAGTATGCCAGTGTGTGTGTATGGGTGAAGTTTTTCTTTTGCGTAAGTGTTCTGGGAGTATTTGTGGGGCAATATTTTTTTGGGCTGTGGCTCGTTTGGAATCACAGGAGAGAGAGCCCCAAAAAAAGAAATATATATATAAATTTGAAGCTACGACCGAAGAGCGCCAAAAAGTTGGTCTGGAGTTGTAATGGAGTCCGTGGGATTACCCGTTCGAAGAGCGAGAGAGCTCCTCAGAGAGCCATTCCGGGATGTAAATGGCTGAAAGAGATTTCCGAGAACCAGTGTCTAGGGCTTGGCTAAGGATGCTGTGTGTAACAGGACTCCCTCTCTCTTGGTGAGAGATGGCATTTTTTTTGGAGAAAACAGGGTAACCGTAGAAGCGCAGGCGCTGCGCAGCATCTGCGTCGGCAAGTCAACGGCTACAAAGCTACAAAATGAGGCTGGAGCCGCCGACAGAGGTCCTGGCCAGGCTACAAAAACAAAACGGGCTTCAGTACGATTCCTGTGAATATCTATGCAGGACAACACGGAGCATCAAGAGCCGGACTGTGGCAGAATCAAAAAAATCACGTAAAATTCAGACCCTCACTAAAAGTTAACAATTGGTGTAACCTAAAAACAATCAACATAAATTTATAGAATTTTTTCAAAGAAAAATCAAAAAGTGTTTTTAAATTATCGTAAAAAAAAAAATATTTTAAGGATTAAAAACAAAATCAGCTGCATGGGCGCAGCCTGAAGCTTACAGCAACAGTGGTTTCAGCTGCTGCGTCGAGTGCGCCGACTCGAGTCTCGGCCAGCGACTTGGAGACTCGTAAACATTTTTAGGCCATGTTCTAAAACCGCTCTGCTCCCGGCCCCCCGCCGCCTCACCCACGTTCCGGTACGAAACGCTCCGAACTGCGTCAGAGAAGACTCCCGCGGCTGCCGCTGCTGCTGCTTTTCGCCCAGAGACTGAGCCAGCCAGGCAGAAAGGTAAACAAAAACCTGTGCGCGTGTTTGTATCAATAAAACACCGGCCGCCGTCAAGGCCTTCGTTCTGCCCACTTCGTCCTTCCCCCTGTGCATCCTCGTAGCGCCGTGACGTCACCATGGCTGGGTGTGCCGCCTACGCCCACTTATGGCGGCACTGCAAGCTGCTGTGCCTCCTTCTCGTCCTGCTCCTGCTGTGCGAGACGGTGCAGGCCAATCCCGATGCCAAGCGCCTCTACGACGATCTACTAAGCAACTATAATCGACTCATCCGACCCGTAAGCAATAATACGGACACAGTGCTGGTCAAGTTGGGTCTCCGACTGTCCCAGCTCATCGATTTGGTGAGTAAATTAGCCAGAGCTCTCGAGTTTTGGGGGGAATTAATTAATGCAATTGACCAAGTCCTGGGGTTCTGCGGCAGAATTTTTAATTAAGCTCCGCGCAGACCGCGTTTCGCTACATTTGCTGCCAGAAAAAGTTGCCAGAGAAACTTTCCATGGCCCGTAAATAAAAAATGCCAAACAGTAAACAGCAACAAATGAGCCGCGCCGAAATCTATGACGCCATAATTAGACTCCACTTCCAGGGCCAGCTATGAGAGCGGAGGGTTGAGAATCCACAACATTTAAGTGGCATATTTCAATTCACAGCATCGACTTTATTTCTGTCAGCACTGGTTGCGCCACCTCGCCCAGGCTTCAGATGAATAGCTCGCATTTCTCAAAACTTCAGCCAAACGGGGAGCACTAGATTTTTATACAATTTTGCTTCAACATTTCATTACACGAGTGGGACCATCTACATAGGAGGAGGGTGTGTCAGTGGAGAACTGGGAGGGATAGCATAATGTTGTCTGCGCTTGCTTAAAGTTCCCGGGCACAAGTCATTTGTCAGGACTGGCCGGGTAGGGCCGGTCCGGGACGGGGAAACTGCAATTCCGGCGGACTGCAGAGAATCCACTTTGGGTGGTGACGCCACCAAAAGGCTTAAAAGGTAATAAAACAAGCCAAAAAAGGAAGAGACCCGTAAGCTGACAGCAAAAAGCACATTAACCGGGCGACGGCGAGAGAAGTGCAAATGATATAAGAAACCACAGGAGAAAAAAATGGCTAGAATGAATAAAATGCAAATCCTTGGTGATGCATGGCTGGGCCTTAGTCTCTGAACGTCAAATCCTTTTATTTTCCCAGATCTCCTTTGCGGCTTGTATGAAATTTTTTTTTGGTGTATGCCCATTTCATTTTCCAGAATCTCAAAGATCAAATTCTAACGACCAACGTGTGGCTGGAGCATGAATGGCAGGATCATAAATTCAAATGGGATCCCTCGGAGTACGGTGGTGTCACAGAGCTTTATGTTCCCTCCGAGCATATATGGCTGCCGGATATTGTGCTCTACAACAAGTAAGTTATTGGAAAGTAATGTTTTTCAAAAGAAACAATATGAATTTTATTTTAAAATTCTTTATCATCTACCAAATTAAAAAATTATTTTGAAATATTATTAATTCAAGTGCTGATGGTGAGTATGTGGTTACCACGATGACCAAAGCCATCCTCCACTACACTGGCAAAGTGGTCTGGACCCCGCCGGCTATTTTCAAGTCCAGCTGCGAGATTGATGTCCGGTACTTTCCCTTCGATCAGCAGACTTGCTTCATGAAGTTCGGCTCCTGGACTTATGACGGAGATCAGGTGAGTGATGGCTACGCCGCCTTCTGCCGGCTGTCGGCAATCAGCCAGGCATCAGCCAGTTGGTTCTGAAACAAATGGGCGGGGCCAAGAATTTATGGGCCACCATTTATCTGCGGCATTAGAACGGAGACTGGGAAACAGACTTACACGCCTAAGACGCCGTGAGAACATCGAAAAGGCGTCGTCGGCATCGCGCAGATTAAAATGTGAGAAATAGTAAAAGTGTAATTGAAACTTGTCTAACCATTGCACACACTCACACTTATAAAAGAGCCTCCAGGACACTCGACTGTGTGAGTGTGTCCCTGTCATAAAAATGCGCGGCCATAAATTAAGACCGAGTGCGACTCCCGCCAAACCAAGCTGCTTCCGTTTCCGCTGACCCTTTGCAGTCTGCGAACCAGAGACAGGTTGAAAGTACACTGTGGAAAGAATATAGAAGCTTTTAGAGCAGGAAATGAAAAGAAAATAAAACTATTATAGATAATTAAACCTAACTATTCCTTATTTCCAAATATTTCGAGGCTCATGCCTGCAATTCAGGTTTTAAACCTTCTTACCTTGGAAGCTTTACCAATTTTTTTTTTTGTTGAGGAAAATTTTAGGGCGGTCCAAAAAACAGAGCTGTTTCACCGACCGTTTGTCAACGCATTTAAATTCTGCCACTCTTTTAACGACTGCACTTCAATGCCCGGCAAGTTGGGGCTTCTTCAGGCAGCCGGCACGGACGGGAGGCTTAGGGAGGATTCGCTTTAACGGCTCCATCAACGGGCCTTTTCCCATTTCGCAGATCGATTTGAAGCACATCAACCAGAAGAACGACAAGGACAACAAGGTGGAGATTGGCATAGACCTGCGCGAGTACTATCCCAGTGTGGAGTGGGATATTCTGGGGGTGCCGGCGGAGCGGCACGAAAAGTACTATCCTTGCTGCGCCGAACCGTATCCGGGTGAGTTTAGTGGAGTTTAATGCTTCTCATCGCCGGCCCTTTCGCGAAAGCTCTACCCAAACTCATCCCCCGAAAAAAATACCTTCTTTCCCCCCATTTTCTTCCTTTACTCTTTTTGCATTTCGGATATTTTGTGGCCGCTTCGACGATTTGTTCAGATATATTCTTTAACATAACCCTGAGGCGGAAGACACTCTTCTACACGGTCAATTTGATTATCCCATGTGTGGGCATTTCCTACCTGTCGGTCTTAGTGTTCTACTTGCCAGCTGATTCCGGAGAGAAGATCGCCCTCTGCATCAGCATCCTTCTGTCGCAGACCATGTTCTTCCTGCTGATATCCGAAATTATACCCTCGACTTCGCTGGCATTGCCCTTGCTGGGAAAATATCTCCTTTTCACCATGTTGTTGGTCGGCCTGAGCGTCGTCATCACGATTATCATATTAAACATTCACTATCGAAAACCGAGCACCCACAAAATGCGGCCCTGGATACGCGCCTTCTTCATCAAGCGGCTCCCCAAACTCCTGCTGATGCGTGTCCCCAAGGATTTGTTGAGGGATTTGGCGGCCAACAAGATCAACTACGGCCTCAAGTTCAGCAAAACCAAGTTTGGACAGGCCCTGATGGACGAGATGCAAATGAACTCTGGCGGCTCCAGTCCAGACTCCCTGCGAAGGATGCAAGGACGCATGGGGGCAGGAGGATGCAATGGCATGCACATGACTACGGCAACAAATAGGTAAGTTTCAGGAAAAATACTCCTGAATAAGATTCAATATAGGGGAATGTAATTTTGTTTAATTCACGGGCTCAGAATGATTGGCCATGAAATATTATTAAAGTATTAAAAGTATATATATGCAGCATGCAACTTGCGCTGCATGTAAAGCCCACGAGATTCTTGGCATATCCTGTCGCTCCCAGATGTACGTTGACACGTCATATCCTTTTTACAGATTCAGCGGCCTGGTGGGGGCACTGGGCGGCGGCCTGAGCACTCTGAGCGGCTACAACGGACTACCGTCGGTGCTATCCGGATTGGACGACTCTTTGAGCGATGTGGCCGCACGCAAAAAGTATCCTTTCGAACTGGAGAAGGCCATTCACAACGTCATGTTCATACAGCACCACATGCAGCGGCAGGACGAGTTCAATGCGGTGAGTCCGGCAGCTGATTGAATTTTTAATTGGAAATTCCGTTTGTCCGTTGGTGTGTCGGCGGGGAAAGAAAACCGCAAAAAGCGGTTCTTTTTCCAGTCTGTCCAGATCCGATGGTCCATTGACCGATGTCCTCTGTCTGATGCCACTGGCCACTCAGTGTATCTCTCATCTTTGCGGCGGGACTAGCTTTCTTTTGTCGACTTATTTAAGCTCTTGCCATTTTTGCACTTTAAGACAATCGTCGTCCGGCAAATCCACTTTTAATTGCTTTTGTTCAATTGACTGGCAATTGGTATAGCCCTCAGCTCGCATTTCGTCCTGAACCAGCCCGGCAATCCACCCACACTTGCCGCCGATTCATCTCTTCATCAGGAAACTGAGCAGAAAAAAAAAACGTTTCAATCAAACCCAAAATGCTCTTTGTTGTGTGATTGCGGAGTCTGTGGGCTCTGCCCGACCAGCCCGGCTGCCTTTGTTTTGCTTTTCAGCCATTTATTTTTTCGGGCTTTGCTTTGTCGGAGCTGCGATTTCGCCTTTTGATTGATAACCGAACTGATGCCGGGCATAAGTAGATTAAGCGGAGTGCTTAATGAAACCCAATCGCTCAGAGTGTGCGAGTGGGCTTAAAGCGCAATTAGCCGTTTCTGTATGCGGGCTACAAGTTGAAGGGCCTTTAAGAGGTCAAAGGTTCAACTTTATATTAAAAACATTCTAATTTTATTCTATAGGAGGACCAAGATTGGGGCTTCGTTGCCATGGTCATGGATCGGCTGTTCCTCTGGCTTTTCATGATCGCATCCTTGGTGGGCACTTTCGTGATCCTGGGCGAGGCGCCGTCACTGTACGACGACACCAAGGCCATTGATGTTCAGCTATCGGATGTTGCCAAGCAAATCTACAATCTAACCGAGAAGAAGAATTAAATTCAAGAAAACATAAACCTAAGACAATTTCTCCTAGTTTAATGCACTGTTTCAGCACAATAGATGCGAGTAAAAATTAAAATTAAAATTAAATTGCGATATAATAAAAACGTTGGCCCAAAAGCAGCCAAGCAAAATGCTAAAATGCAAAGCGGTTATTTTACTCTACTCCTGTCCCACCCCACCGTAGCCCACTTTCACTTCCACTCCGCATTTTTGATGCACATACTCGTATCCTGGCGGAAAGTGCATGCCAGGAAGGTTAAAGCTAAAATTATTACAAGAAAAATGCTATGGAAAATACTCGTACGTAAGAGGATGCCAACGGCTTTGCCTCCTTTTTTTCCCCCTCCCTCGGGTTCCTGTCAAAACTATTTGCCAAGCATGTGTATCCAACAGCCAGCAGCTAACAGCCAGCTGCTGCTTTGGCTGCTTTTGCCATGAGACCGAGTATGTCTGGCCTTTTATTTGATAACTGGAAAATTAACCTTTTGAAAATGCTGGAAATGCGCAAGCAACGGATGCCAACTCACGAGGAAGACTACGACTACAAGGCACCAGGCATCAGGCTTACCCATATTGCGAAACATTATAACTTGATCATAAAGGGTATATGGTATGCATGAAAAACCAGCATAATCGTCAAGTTAAGGCCTTGCCAGAAACTATAATTTTAATGGATAGATAAACAAAATGAATGAATATTTTATGATTGGTTAGGTAAATTAATCTTTTTTGAGTGAATAAAATTATAATATAAATATGATGTAAATACATTGTGTTTTATTTTAGATTATAATCCAATGAAGCAATTTAAATACATTAAGATAAAGCCAACAAGATATGATTGTATATTATTTATGTGAACAACAAATATCAAAATCGTTTGATAATGATTTAGTGAACAGTTTTCTTCCACAAAGAATTATTAAAATTGTTTTTTTTTTACATCATTTGAAGCCATTTAAATATTTATTGTCCTTGTCACAGAATAATATATAGTTTAAGAAATACTGTCATCAATTAAACTTATTAATAAAGTGATATTTAATTGTTAAATGACTGTAACAGTTTCCCAAATGTACTGCACATGTTTAACTTTTAAGAAAGCTTCAAAGTTTTAAATTAAAACCCTTTTAATATACGAAAGAGCCTGGCTCATTTTGGTTTCTTAATATCACGGTGGTAAAGCCCCATCAAAGGAAAGGCAAAAGAAACCCCAAGGCAGGATCCGCCCTCTGTGGAAACCAAATCCAGCCAAAACAATTTTTCACCACTCTTCCAGTTGTGAGCTGCAGGCATCCATTCTGGTTGACTGCCTTAAAGTATGCGGCAATCAAAAAATGTCTGCAAAACTATTTGCTACAACTTCAAAACTATTTCTATACAAATGTCACAATTTCTTTTTCGTCGTACATACAGAATAGAATTTCTTTCCTTTCTGCCAGCTGGCTGTTTGTGAATGTCATTCAAATTGATGGGGAACAGAGTGGCAGGCCAGCCGCAGAGCAGCACGCCCTCAGTCCCAGTCCTCCCATTTTTGCCCCTTTTTCAAGGGGGGCTTGTAGTAGTAGGTGGGGGCTGTCAATGTCAGTTTGCGCAAAGCAATTGCAATTTCTTACTACTGCAACAAAAGAAACGAAGCAGCGTGATGAGCGTGAGCTGGCTCAGCTCAACAAGTCCCGCACTTCGGGAGCGAATCGCCGGAGGATGTGCTGTTTACGCCGTACAAGTGTAGAGGCACACAAGTGTGTGTGAGTGTGTATTTCTGCATATATTTTGCATACATTCGCCACTATCGGGAATCACTTTACGCACACACTCGGTCCCGCCATTCCGTCAGTCAGGGAGTCAGTCAGTCATCCATTCATTCATTTCTTCTCCTTGGGTTCGGTTCCGCTCCCTTGTCATGTTGACAAGTTCAATATGCTGCCAGTATCCAACCAGCCCCCCATTTCCATCCTCTTCCCCCTGCGGACTGAATGACTTTGCCAGCTTGTCGCTTTTCGCTTTTCCATATGTGATTGTGTGAGTGCGTGTGCATCATTTTCGCTACTTCCCGTCTACTTTTCACAGTTCAGCGAGCTGCTGCTGACGCTCCCTTTTGTTTTTTGTTGCCATTTTCCCTTCTATTATTTTTTTTGTTTTACCATATTTTCGCATTTTTCTTAGCTCCAATTTAAATTCATATTATTTGTGCTTCGCATATGAAAAATACAGCAGGCATACGCAGCGGGAAAAGCAAGCAGGAAGTCACATTTATGTGTCAGTCGAATGCCATGCAAAAGCATACAGCAAGGTCCACAAAAAGACAACTTCTCGGTATAGAAAAGATCTCGCAATGCACCTCCTATTCAAAAGCTAGAGCTTCTTCGTGCCACTTCAACATTGACTAACAAATGGCATTTTTTAGGCAATGAGAACTTGTAAAAGAGCTGTGTACAAAAGTCTATAAGGCTATCAAAATTCACAAAAACTGCATTTTAATTTTAGTCCTAAATAAATCCTTGAATTACAAACATAGTAAAACTATTGCTTTCTCATCAAAATCATGCAAGAAAAAGTATCAAATCTTAGGGTTTTCCTATAATTAAAATTTAATCTAAAACCAATGCCAGAAAATTTGAATAGTTTGCAGAAATTGGAGAAATCCTATCCAATACAACACCAATTCTTTTGAATAACCAGAAACTGTATTCACTTGAGGAGTTGTGGAAATGTCATGTACCCCCCCTCAAACCAAATATTTCACTTCTCTTGTCACAAAGGAAAAATCTTGTAACATTTAGTGTATACAGGAATTTGTGAAAAATGTGTCCCAATGCTACAGCATTTTTCATATTTTTTAAATGCACACACACATACATGGAAAATATAAATTTATGCTTTAAAAGATTTTATTTGTATTTTCAATTGGAGGTTTGGTTTTTTTTGCACCCACTCTTTTTTGAAGCTGTTACATTTTATTTATATTTTGATTTTTTTTTCGCTGCTCACGTATAATTCACAGCATACTTTTTGGCATGCAATTCCATTTCCCGCTGACAGCAGACTTTTCAATTCGTTTGATTTAGCATTTATTTATGTCGTCTGACAAATTCAATTCGATTTCGCAGAATGCAAAATATTGAGGGCACACGGCTGGATGAAATGATTACGGAAAAGCATTGGCTATTTTGAGCACTTAAAATTCAATTTCAGCAACGGTCAGGCCAGAGTTTTTCACAATAATCTGCACTTTTTGCTGGGTTTACTCTGTATTTCTCAGCTTTGGTCTGGCCCAGTCACTCTTATATAATTAACGTTAGCGGAGTGGCAGCCTTTTAGGATGCAACTGGCCACGCCCCGTTTCAGTGCCCTGAAAACGATTAGGGCCGCGTGTCACTTGTCTTATTTTATCGCAAAAACAATTTGTCGTCGCCTGTGGCTGCCGACTTGCGGCAGAAGTTGCTCTGACAGCGTTTTCCGTCTTTGGTGGCAAATTTTATAAACGATTTATAAAAGTCATTGCCGCAGTAGTTGGAAAGGCAAGGAAGCTGAGTAGCAAACTCAAGCACAAACTCAATTCGTTGACATGTGAAAACTTTGCACGCTTTCATTTATTTATGAATGGTTCGCTCGTAAAGTTGCAGCACACTCACACACGTACACTCAGATCACATCCAATTAGCATATTAAATTAAATAAATATTAAACTAACTGCCACAGGCTCCCAAACCCCGACCTCCGACATCCAACCACCATCAGGCACAACCACATTCACCTACACGTCCCACATCACTCATACGCCGTGCAGTCCAACGGTGTCAATACTTAGAGTGATCAACCACCCCACACACAGCAGACACACCCCGTGCATGTATACGGCGCCTAAACTGTCATGCAGTTAGTCATTCACTCATCAAACAATCCCCACCCCGCCCACTCCACGTCCTGCCCCCATCCTTCGAGGCCAGTCTCCATGGATTAGATGCCGGCGGCTTTTACGAGTCCTGTACCCGGCCGGCTGGTCTGCTCATAATTTATGCCACTCATCTTAATAATTTTGGGCGCAAAACTTCAACTACGAGTACATGTAACAGCAGCAGGAGCACCAAAAACCAAAAACGTAGAGACTACGGCAGGAACACCGAGAGGAGCCACACCAGCAGCAGCAGGCAACCCAAATATTTTAAACATTTACTTAGCCAACATGAAAGCTTTGGGAAAGTGGGACAGGGGCGGGAAGGTGCAGCGGGGGGACAGCTGTACAAAGTTAAACCGGGGGCGACGAGCTGAATGACCCTTTGATCTAGTTCCATCCGCAAATTGATTCTCTTCATCAACTTTCATCTTTTTTGGTGGATATTCTGGTTGAAACTTTTAATTTCTTGATTAAAAAATTATAGATTATTTAATAATTTATTAGGGATCTCATTTATAAGTTACATAATCTACTTAGTTTTTAATCTAATACTTTACCATTAATTATTCCTGAAATAGAAGATCACTTAGTTGAAATATCCACAAAATTTAAAAGACTCCTTTAAACAAAAAATTCAGTGAATCCTCTTATTAGTTCTTTGTAATTTTAGTTTCCGGTTCAGTTCCGATCACATCCTACCTTATCCAGCCCTGAAGGCAAGTGCCCATACCTTTCACTTGGCATGTTTCATCAGCATCGTCATCATCTTGTCACACAGCATCTTTTACATTACAAAATACACACAAACACACACCCACACTCGACGACAGCCATTTTCCCCCATTTGCTGTTTGTTTTAGTGCCAATGTAGCATAGTTTTATGCATATCCAAGTAGTCCTATGTGCAACGTCTTTGTTATGGAATAACTTCATGTGGGCGGCTCTCGGTGAGCATGTAAGTGTTCTGGGGGGAATCCAGGAGAGGAGGATTCACCATATTCCAAGCCTCGCTCTAGGGCGAAATTTACTTCATTTCCTGTCCTCCGGACATCTAGAGTTTCAAAAACTGGTAAGCTTTTTTAGACTTCATCCAGAAATAAAAGAATATGCCTGTCTAAGGTAGAGAAAGTCTGTGTGGAATATTCATATTGTGAACCTTTGTTGTTACCTTTCGTAGACTAGTTTTTTAAATATTATTACTGCAGATAGTCTCTATAATACAAATCCTATGCCTATAAAATACATGTTCTATAAAACATTTAAAGTTAAGCTATAAAACATTTAAAATCTTTTAAGCTCTTAAAA